GCCAGTGCTGGGTTTGGGGGGGGGGGGCTTGCTGAGCGCTGGAAACCCATGAGGAGAGGATGGAAGGTTAGCACTCTCCTGTGTGTGTGTGTGTGTGTGTGTGTGTGTGCGCACGCGCGCACTGCTGGCTGGGAACTGCCTTTACTCTGCAGCCCAGTAGCCCTGTCTGCTGCAGCTGGGGTGGGAGGGGCTGGGTTAGTGAGCTGTGAGCTGGGGCCTGACTGATGCAGAGTAGGGAGGGGGTACCCAGGCCTCGCTGACCTGCATGCTCCCCCTGGCAAGGGGTCCTGTCCTGAGGTCCTTTCACGTTGCTGTCGTCTTCACTTACGCTTGGGTTTCACCCTAGGCACTTAGCTCAGTCACCCTAGACCAGGCCTTGATGCGCTGGCAAGCTGGACTTGGTTCAGAGAAGGCCCCAGACATCTTGAGCCTCAGGCTTCTCCTGCTGTTCTGTGTGTTCTGCTGTAGCCAGGCCTTCCTGTCACCTTTATGTGCATCTGACTCACAAGGCTTCTCCCCAAAGTCCCATTCTTGCCTAGAACTGCTCAGAAGATCCTGATGACTCTCAGGCCTGGCTGTCTCCACTCTGGTTCCAGAGATCTCTGGAGATGTTCACTGTGTCCCCACTTGATCTGAAAAAGAGTCTGTCTGTGTCATCTCTCTGTAGGCTTCTCAGTCTGTTTGTCCAGCTTGTCCTCTGGGCTGTCACTGGGGCCCCAGGCAGTCTCCCCTCACAGCAGCTCCAACAAGTCAGGCTCCGGGAAGCATGTCCCTAGGATGCCTTGTATTTCCTTCTGTGTCCTTTGTCACGCTGTCCGAGAAACACTGTCCTGCGTATGACCTGCATGGTGTCTGTCTCCTCTCATCGCAGGTCCGTCTGTCCATGCATTCTCAGTGCCTGCCCTAGAGTAGACGCCAGTAATTGTTCAGTCAGTGCCTATGTCTCCATGTTCCTCTTCCAGCTAACTAACTCCTATTCATCTGTCAAGACCCAGGCCCAGTGACTTCTCCCAGAGCTAGTTCCTACCCTGTGCCTTTCCAGATCTTCATGTGCATGCACAGCACACATGTATACACACACGTACACTTGCTCTGCTACTCACTGCTTTGGGTTAAAGCCCTGGGTCTTTCCTCCTCCTGCCTCTGAGTTCCTGGAGGGTGGGAGGCAGTACATGGCACAATCTGTAGTCTTTGTTTGGCATTCTAGAAAGGTTTGTGTTTTAACCCGTCTTTGTGGCTCATCAGTATCTTATTTGTGCTCTTGGCTGTGTGTAATATGATTTCCTCAGCCATTTGGTTGTCTCTGGCAGAGAGGACCCTGTCTTAGTGCCTCCCTTTCTGTATCTCCACAGCCTGAGCCCAGGACAGAGCACTGTATGCCTAGAACAGCTGGATAAAGCCTCTTGAGTCCAGGTAGTGGTCTGTGTAAGACGGGCCCTCGGCAGTTTGGGAAGCCCCTTTCATTCTGGACCAACCATATAATTTATGAGGCCCAATGGTGGACTCTTTATTTAAAATAATCATTACAGGGGCTGGAGAGATGGCTCAGCGGTTAAGAGCACTGACTGCTTTTCCAGAGGACCCAGGTTTCAATTCCCAGCATCCACATGGCAGCTTACAACTGTCTGTAACTCCAGTTCCAGGGGATCTAGATCCTCATGCAGACATACATGCAGGCAAAACACCAATGCACATAATTTTTTAAAATTATTACAAATTTCAGAATAAGACTGAGGGGTGTGTAGCTCAGTGGTAGAGTGTTGGCTTAGCATGCACAGGGCACTGGGTTTGATCCTAGCACAGTCAGTCAATGGATAGATGACTCACAGACAAGAAAACCATAAAGAACTCACAAACACGGGAAAGGATCTTGGTGACGTGTGCCTGTGTTCCTAGTACTTTAGGTAGTAGGATCAAGAGTTGAAGGTCAGGGGGCTGGAGAGATGGCTCAGCAGTTAAGAGCACTGGCTGTTCTTCCAGAGGACCCGGGTTCAATTCTCAGCACCCACATGTCAGCTCACAACTGTCTGTAACTTCAGTTCCAGGGGACCTGGCACCTTCACACCAGTGCACATACAATAAAGTTAAATAAATTAAAAAAAAAAAGACTTGTTTAAAAAAAAAAAAATTGAAAGCCAGCCTGGGCTACATAAGAACCTGTCCTTAAGAAGGAAAAAGACAGACATGGTGGCACACACCTTTAATCCTAGCACTTGGGAGGCAGAGGCAGGTGGATCTCTGTGAGTTCGAGGCCAGCCTGGTCTACAGAGCGAGTTCCAGGACAGCCAAGGCTACACAGAGAAATACTTTCTGGTGTGCAGACATATATGCAAACAGAGCACTGTATACATAATAAGTAAATAAATAAATAAATCTTAAAACAAAAAAAAAGGAAGAGAAAGGAAGGAAAGAAAGGAAGGAAGGAAGAAAGGAAAAGAAAGAAAGAAAGGTCTAGCCAAACTCAGTAACACGTAATCTCAACACTTCAGACACACTAGGGTTAAAGGAAGAAAGATTACGGGAATGAAGACAGTCTGGGTTATGAGACCCTGAGGAAGGAGGGAGGGAGGAAGGGAGCTTGGCCTAAGACAGTGTTGGCCAGGGCTGGGGAAAGGCTCGGTGAGTACAAGTGCTCGCTCTGCAAGCCCAAGGACCTCAGCTCAGATCCCCAGCAACCGTGGAAAGGCCAGTGGGGCCATACATGTCTGTATCTATGCAGACAGGGAGGCTCCCGGGCTGGTCAGTCTAGCAAATTTCAGCAAGCTCCAGGTTCAGGGAAAGACTATCTCAAAAAATAAAGGGAGAAAAAAAAAAGGAGGAGTATGTAGCTTGGTAGAGTGCTTGCCTAGCACACTTCAAGCTCTGGGTTCAATCCCCAGCACTGGAAAGAAAGAAGGAAGGAGCAGGCAGGCATGGTGGAACATGCCTCTAATCCTAGCACTGGGAGCTAGAGACAGGAGTCAAGGTCATCGCTGGTACATAGTGAGTGTGACACTGGGACATAGGATACCCTATCCAAAAAGAAATGGAAGGAAGAAAGAAAATTAAAGAATTTCAAAGCAATATCCGCAGAGCAATGAGGCCAAGCATGAGGGTCTTGTCACTGCACAGCCTCCAGTACAGGAAGCCAGCCATCATCCCATGTCTCCCCAGTACAGGAAGCCAGCCATCATCCCATGTCTCCCCGTGAGACGCACAGCTCAGGCTCCCTTTGACCTGTTGGGAAATGAAGCACATGGGTGATAAGCAGCCTTGGGTTACACTGCTGGTCAGTGACAGCTGGATGGAAACAAAGGCCAGCTCCTGGAGCTCGCTGCGTGTCTGAAGCTGCACAGCACCGTGGCACCGGGAGCCTTCATTTCTCTGTTTGTGGTTGGGACCGTTGGCCTGATTATTAAAACAGCGAATAGACTAGCTGGCTGAGAAGGCCTGGGTAGCCGTGCCCTTCTGATGCCTTCACTTAAGTCACAAAGTTCCCTCTCCTCCTTGGAAGGTCCTGCGCCCCGTGGACAGGAGGGATAATTAGTGATCACGGCAGTTGAAGAAATGAAAGCCCCTCAGAAGTAGGAGGAGGTTCTCCTTTCATCCCTTTTTGAAGGAATGTGAGGGCTTGGGTAGAAAGTTCCCCAGGGTTCCTTGGTATTTCAGTGCTTTGATATCTGGAGGGAGAAGAGAGCAATTAATTGCTATAAATGGCTGTGACGATGGTGGGTGGGCGTGTCAGGCCCTTCATCCCAGCCGTCCTCTAGATGGGGGGACCCCCACAGCAGACGCAGAGGCTGAGCGATCTGCACTCCCACTGTGTGGGGCTGGGGAGATGGCTCAGTGGGGGAAAAAAAGATGCCTCAGTTGCTATATAGACCTGAGTTCGAATTCCCAGCACTACGTTTAAAAAAAAAAAAAAATGGCCACATGTGCTTGTAACCCATTGGGATGGAGTGGGCAGAGATAGGCAGTTCCTAAGAAATTGCCAGCTAGCCAGCCAGCCTTGTGGTAAGCTTCAGGTTGAGTTAGCGACCCTGTCTCAAAGGAATGAGTCTGAGAATAAGAGGGGGACACCCTGCATCTTCCTGTCACCTCCACATGCATGTTTAGGTGTGTGTGTGTATACACACGCACACACTGTGGGAAGATCTCCTTGTAGAATGTGCTGTCCTCAGCCTCTTGGCAACTTTGTCTACAGAAAGGGAATGAGGAGATATTCCCAGGATGCCTTGTCCTTCCTCCATCTGGCTCAGAAGCCATTGCCCTCAGACCTGGCAGGGTTGAGCAGGGTTGAGAACCTGGAGGCCACTCAAGGCAGGGTGGGATACAGAGGCTCACAAGCTCTCTGTGCCCTAGAGTGTTGCCACTGGTGCCCTCGGTAGGCCGCACTTCCACCAGGTTAGCCAGGTGATGAGACTGTTGGGGAAAGGCAGAGAAGCCTTTGGTGTTCTTTGGTTCTTGGAAGAGATGTTCTCGGGGCATAGACTGCAGCCAGGCTGGTCAGTGTGTTATCCTCAGTCATGCCTTCTGTACATGTGACACGCATCCGTACCGGTGGTCGGCTGCAGATATCAACTACACACACAGGTGGACACATTGGAGCACACAGGAGACAGAAGATGAGGACCTGGCCTTGTTATCTGAGGTGTTTGGTGGGTGGGAGGTCATCTCGTGCAGATTCGAGGGCTTGCCCATCATCTGTCCAGTGAGTCACTCTGGTCCCATGTCTCTAGACAGGGTGACTAGCCCAGAGGAGGAGGTGTGTGTTATGTGGAGCAGGCGGGCCTGCCTCAGCCGGAAATGACAGGCTTGTTGCACACTCAGCACCCTGTCTTGGAGGTGTTGGAGCAGGCTCCGTGGGCCTGCCTGACACACAGGTATTTCTGGACTATGACAGAGCTCATGGCCACAGGCTCTGTACCAGCGGTTCTGTCCCTCTGCGTGGGGGTGTGCCCAGGTCGTACAAGCAGCCACTGGGACCTTCTGGCTCCTCCCATGACTGTGTTCTGTTTCCACAGGGCGGCACCTTCTTATTTCTTCTCAGTCGCAGCCTTCCCCTTAGAGTTGAGCATCTGTGTGCCTGAAGTGGATTTCCAGAAGCAGGTAAGGACCTGGGGGAAGGCTCTGTTGTGTGGCTGTGGGACAGTGCTGCTGTGAGGCAGGGTGGGATAGCCCGAGACACACCAGGTTCACCCATCTCACTGCCTTCCTCCATGGTCCCGTGTGATACTTGTTTCTTCCGGTGTTGGGGGTCATTTTCTTCGTGTGGTTTTCCTACACTGCTGGGAGTTGAACCCAGGGCATCGTGCATAGCAACCATGCTCTACCACTGAGCTGCCCTACCTGATGTGTGGATTCTTAGTCAGTGTCACAGTGCTGCTGATTTTTCAGGCTAAGATTTGAGCAGACTCGGGGCTATGCATTTCAATATTTTATTAGTGTGTATGAAATGAGGACAGGGGTGCAGTGACCACGCACATGTGAAGTTGGGTCTCTCTGTCCGACAATACGTGAGTTCTAGGAATTGAACTCAGTTTACCAGACTTGTGCAGCAAGTGCCTTTACCTGCTGAGCTATCTTGAGTATTTTCTGTAAACTCTATGAGGTATTTGATGTATTCTATCTATATAAACCCTGTGGAAACAGGTATGAATTATATGAGGTATTCTGTCTGTATAAATCCTTCGAAAGTATGTATGCATTTAAAAGTTGCAGGTATTTGTTATTGTGGTGCATTGCGGATGATGCACAGGACCTTGTGCATGCTACCACTGAGCCACATCCCCGGTTTTCATGCCCTTGTGTGTGTGTGTGTGTGTGTGTGTGTGTGTGTGTGTGTGTGTGTGTGTGTATTTGTCTGTCTGTCTGTGTTGCTGCTGTGTTTTGGAAACAGGGTTTTCTGTAGTCTAGGCGCTGGCCTCAAAGTCACTGTGTAGTTGAGGATGACCTTGGATGTCCTGATCCCTCAGCTTCTGCCTCCCAAGTGATGGGATTATAGGCATGTGCTGTTTGTTATACCTAGCTCCTTAAACAAAAACAAAAACAAAAATGTTTCTATGCTTTAAAAATTTTGACGCAGGGGGCTGGAGAGATGGCTCAGAGGTTAAGAGCACTGACTGCTCTTCCAGAGGTCCTGAGTTCAATTCCCAGCAATCACATGGTGGCTCACAACCATCTGTAATGAGATCTGGTGCCCTCTTCTGGCTTGCAGGGACACATGCAAGCAGAACACTATAAACATAATAAATAAACAACATAATAAAAAAAAAATTTGACCCAGGCATGGTGGCACAGGCCTTTAATCCCAACACTTGGGAAGCAGAGGCAGGTGGATTTCTGAGTTCCAGAACAGTCAGGGCTATGTAGAGAGACCCTATGTCAAAACAACGAATATTTTTGATATAGGTTCTCATTTATAGCCGAGGCTGACTTGAAACTCACTGTATAGCCCAAAGTAGCTCCAATCTAGAGGGAATCCTCCATGTATCAGCCTCCTGAGTGATGGGATTACAGATATGAGTCTGCATGCCCAGCTCTCATGGTGTGTGTTTGTTTTGGAGTTTTGACAGTATGCTGCTGTGTAGCATGAATCTTAAAGAGTCTTATTAACAAAAACAAACTCAGAGCCAGGTATTGGGATGAACGCTGAATGATCAGAGAGACAGAACCAACCACAGCTACCTCACCTTGCTAATTCCTCAGCTGATCCTGTTTCCTCAAACTGTTTCCTCTGAGTCCTCATCCGAAAGGATCTCAGCTGAACTGCTGCTCAAAAGCCTAAAAGCTTAACTAGCTCTAGTTCCTGGTTTTCACACCTTATATACCTTTCTGCTTTCTGCCATTACTTCTTGGGATTAAAGCCATGAATCACCATGCCTGGCTGTTTCCAGTGTGGCTTTGAACTTGCAGAGATTCATCCAGAAGACTAGGATTAAAGGTGTGTGTGCCACCATTTTCTGGCCTCTATGTCTGACTAGTGGCTGTTCTGTTCTCTGACCCCAAATAAGTTTATTAGGGTGCACAATATTTTGGGGAACACAGTATCACCACACCACTATCGGTCTGTGGCTGGCCTGGGACTCAGTGTGTAGACTGAGCTGTTTCAAGCTTGTGGCATCCTCCTTCCTCTGCTTCCCAGGGGCTGAGATTACAGCCACCACACCTGGCTTTCCTAGTATGTTTTAATGTGGACAAAATGGAAGGCAAATAGTGGTGACCCTTGTGGCCCTGAAGGACCCATCCTGTGGTCTGGCACAGCTTGAGTTTATTTGACAGTTTTCTAAGGAGATGTGAGACCTCCATAGTTATAAACTGATACTTTTCTTATAAACATGAGTGTGCAAACAGCATTAGCTTCAGGTTTATAAATAAAAATGAGCACAAGGGGCTATACTTGTACTCAGGGCCACTCAGGCAGGTGGAAGAGAGGCCAGCTAGCTCGTCAGGCTTCTTATCAGCACTGATAGAGACCCACATGGGCAGCACTAGCCTCCCAGCCTCCAACCACTGCTGGTCACATTCTTGGCTTCTGCACTGCCTCCTAATTCTGAAGTGCCATCAGTTGGTCCATGGAGGTCTGCAGAGGTTGGGTGGGAATGTGACATCGATGTCTCTGATGTCCCCCGCACTTCAGTCCCTCCCTGTGGGTCTTGCACAGTGACTGGGAACCACTGCATCGTCCCCTGCTCACCAGCCATGCTTCCTGCAGCGGAGGGACAGGCTGAGAGCCACCAGCTGTCCAGCGTGCAGTGTCTGCCTGTGTGTCGTGACCCTTGATACTGTACTGAGTCGTCAGATGGGGTTTTCTGGCATGGCACCACTTAGACACAACATGTGGTTTGTCGCCACAAGATACAAAACCGCAGACCTCTCCCCTCCCCTTCATTTGCATAATCGACAGCTGCCTGTTGTGTCTTTCCATTTTCCCTTTTCTGGTTCCTCTGACTCCCAAGAAATTGTCTTAGTGGAAGGGAAGCGCTGCCCTGTGTTAGGGACAGGGTGTGTGTGTGTGTGTGTGTGTGTGTGTGTGTGTGTGTGTGTGTGTGTGAGAACAGTTGAAGCCGTCACTGGAATGCATCGGTACTGTTGATTCTTCGGTCTGAGCTTGGATGAATAATTAGTATCTAAATTAACTGCAGTTTGAGCTTATGTAATTTAAGCACGTTTTAATGGAAACCAGTTCTTGATCCCTACAGGAGAAAATAGGAATCCTTCAGTGACATTAATGTACTACTTGACAGAATTGTGATGAAAATTTAATAACATACTCGCTTGGCTAGGCAACAAATCTAAGCACACTGTAACATGCTTGCGGCACACCAGCAGCCATTTGTCTGAGATGATTATGGCTTATTCTCTTCAATTATTATTTTTTTCACATTGACACCCTTCCTGCGAATTAGGACAGAATGACATCAGTTAGGACGCTTTCTAGAGCATTTGGTCTGGAATGTTCAGGGCAGGGACCTGTGCTCCACTTTCTCTCCCAGCTCCCAGCCCTGGGCGTTCCTTCCCGGCAGACAGCAAGGCAGGGTCAGCAAAACAGAGGTTCGACATCACCAGCGGGTGGAGGCACTCGCCACCGAATCTTCGAAGCAGAGTTCAGTCCCTAGGAGCGGGCTGACTCCCGAAAGTGGTCCTCTCTGCCCTTCACATGTGCACCGTGGTGAAGACTAGAATTTTTAGAAATGCTAAGTCCCATTCTTCTGGAGTTTAGGAAACAGCTTGTGCCAGGCAAAGTGTGTTACAGTAAGAATGACTTGGCTCCAGAGACCGGTTGAGCCCTGCAGACCCCAAGACCCCACAGCAGGACCGCAGCAGTGAAGACAGGAGGGTGCACCAGTCAACGGGGGTGGGGTGGGGGTGGAGCTGGGGGACAGAGTTCTGTAATGCAGACCCGGTGGGAAATGACTGCACCGTGACATTCCTCCACCAGCACCGACACGGAAGCCCTAACCAGACCCCTGCCCGTCCTGTAGGAGCAGCCCTCTAAGGGTCCTGGGACACGGCAGCCCTAACCAGACCCCTGTCCTGTAGGAGCAGCTCTCTGAGTGAATAGATAGGAGTTCCTGGGACCCACTGTGATTGGAGTGTGGTTTGTGAGAGCTTCCCAGGGGACTGACAGAAGGAATTCCCTTGGAAACTTTTGTGTATGGCGGCACCTAGTGGCTGGTGTGTTGCATGTCATGCATCTTTCATAGGGGATGGCCTACTAAAATCTAGCCCTTCAGCACATGACAGAATTGGAAGATTTTGCTCGTGGGAACTCTGACTCCCAGTTTGAAGGCTCCATGGAAACTTCCGATGTTTGCTGGTGGTCACAGTAGCTCAGGAGGAAGAGTCCTTTGGGAAAGTAAAATTTGTGGGACTCAGGGTTCCTACTTAAGTCTCTTAATACAATGACATTAGTTTTGAATTGGTATGAGTACAGTAGAGAGGGGGAATCTCAGACACTAAAGACTGCTCCCCTGTTGCATTCAGCCAGGTGGGCAGTACTTATTAAGAGCCTGCTAGACACCAGGCTCCAGGAGGACAGGGCAACCCGAGCAGACACAGCAGGAGAAGGAAGAGACAATTAACAGACGTTCCAAGACACTCAGAAAGCGAGGACAGTGAGACAGGGCTGTGTGACAAGAGGTGGAGGCACAGGACTGGCCCCCTGGAAAGGTACCTTGAGGCCAAGATGAAGCCGGTTCTGGACTCGGGATGGATACCAGTGCAGAGGCTGACAAGCAGAGGAGCGGGAAGAGCTGGGTTGCGGAGAGAACGGGGCTGATCACACTTGGCCTCGGAGGCAACCGGCCGGGACTAGGAAATGTATTTTCAGATATGACTAGCAGGGGTGTGGGGATGTCATCTCCCCTGACCTATATAGATTGTTCTAGCCTCTCTAGGGGAAAGCACATGGAAGATGTGAGTGGACTATGAGGCCAAGGCCATAGCAGTCCAGATGGAAGCACCAGGCAGGAGATGGAGGCCACAGCATCCATACTCAAGGTCCAGGCAGGGATCACCATGAAGCCATGTGCAGTCCGTCCCCAGACCATCAGTGCTAGAGGGAGACCAGGGCAAATGAAGGAGAGCTCCCCCAGAATCTTGCTTTCCTGCTGGGCCTTTCAGGAAGTGAGGGCCATCCACAGGCTGGTGTGTGCCCTGGAGACTATGCTCGAGGCCACTGTGCCTTTTTCCAGCCCCTGGTTGTTACTTTGGCCCTTTTCTGAGCCCAGGGTTAGTTGAACGGGGCAAACCATAGAAGAAAGGAGTCTGGGTTCTAGGGCTCCAAGGGTGGATAAGAAGACTCTAGGAGTCCTGTGCTGTGTCAAATATGCAGACATGATGTCAGCCCAAGCTGGCCAGGTTTTTAACCTGTTGTGTGGGCTTTCGGGGCGAGGGCCCCAATAGGCTTTTGAGCAGCTGACGAGTAGATACTCAGGAGCTGTTGCCCAGGCTCTGGCACATTCCCGGGTACGCCCTTGGCATGCAGTATTGCCTTGTCCAGCATTTCCCTGTCTAGGACTCACGGGCCACTGGGAGTAGATGGTGTGAGGAGTGTCCTTAGCCTGCCAGCCGGGTTCCCTCATTCTCCGAGTGCAGCTCCTTGGTAGCAGGGCTGCTGAGGCTCCACCCCACCAGCTGCTGCGTTATTTCTGACTTGTCCAGGAGTTCAAGTGTGTAACCCAAACCCCTAGATCCTGCCTCCTCTCCCCCGGCTCCTTCTGCAGGAGGAGGCGCCGGGCTTCTCTTTCTGGGACTGGCTGTAGCTCAGGCCAGAGACACCTGGACACAGCCGCTGGCCTTCACAGCTATCTTCAGGAGCTACCCTCTAACAGGTGGGGTGCGTTTGTGGGGGTGGTAGTGACGGCCCTACCAGGGCCTCCCCTGCCAGGGTCTCTGCCCCGTAACCCTGGACCAGCCATCCCCATAGAGGGACTCCCTGGTGCCTCGCCCAGGAGCTGGCCTCTTGAGTTCAGTAGGGGCTTTTGCATAGGTGATGTCACTGCCTTGGGGGCCATCACTGATCTCAGTTTCCTGAGTCAAGGCTCCAGTGAGCCACCTCTGATCCGTTCCTCTTACTTCTTCTTATGCATGTTGCCTGCACTGCAAACCTGGAACTCTCGGGGCTTCACGCCTCATCTCTCCTGTGGCTCATCACAGACACCATGGCTGCCCCCTGCAGCCTCTGCTCTGGAATAAGAGCTCCTCACCCATGCTGCCTGGGCCCAGGTGAAGACATATCGAGGACCCACTGCTTCTTCTGTGACCTCTGTGCTGTCGGGAATGTGGTCCCTACTGGGGAGGGTCTGTTTGAGAAAGGGGCACATCACCTACAGGGGTCGGTATTAGGGTGTGTCTCCTCCTGGCATTCTCTCCGTAACACTCGATTCCCCTCTCCTTGCAGGAGTCCCCAGAGCTGGGCCAGGGGGATGAACCGTGAGGGAGCACCCGGTAAGAGTCCGGAGGAGATGTACATTCAACAGAAGGTCCGCGTGCTGCTCATGCTGAGGAAGATGGGGTCAAATGTGAGTGCCCGAAGTGTCAAGCCACTGGGTACCTGCTGCCCTGAAGTGGGGCAGAGCAGCTGCAGCCCCCTCCTGGGTCTCCAAGAACCGGGGAGAAGACTGTTGGGCCAGTTCAGGCTCCCCAAGCCCAGAGCCCAGCGTGTCCAGTTTGGGAGCACTGCTGAGATAGTCTTTCCACTCCGTGGTTGATTTTGAGCAGGGCCTCCTTTCCTTTCTGACCCTCACTGACCTCAGAGAGTCTTCTCTCCTGGGAGCAAGTGAGGGCCAGCTTGGCAGGGTAGCCACTGAGGAGGGCAGTAGACAAGCAAGTGCAGGGACATCTTTTGAAAGGAAATGGGGGCATTTGGAATGGCTGACTGGCTGCTTGTGCCTGGCCAGGGCCCGACTTTCATACCTGCTCTACGCCAGAACAGACAGTGGTCTAGATTCAAAGTGAGTGGTAAGGCATGTGAGCTCAGGGACCTGGTGGTCGGGGTGGAAACAGGCTCTGCTTGCTGGGTGGGAAGCTACAAAGGCTGTGCCAGGACTAGAGGGCAGGGGGCGAGAGGGGAGGCGCATGCTCCCCTCACCACAGCACTCTCGTCTGCAGCTGACCGCCAACGAGGAGGAATTCCTGCGCACCTACGCGGGGGTAGTCAGCAGCCAGCTCAGTCAGCTGCCACAGCACTCCATCGACCAGGGTGAGTCAAGGGCCAGGCGCCAGCCCGGCCCTCCCCAGCGCTCTAGGCAGTGTTCTCCACAAAGCTGAATGGGTGAGCTGGGGGGTTAGGGAAGAAAAAAGAGGCTGTTGTTCCCTCTCATCCACAGGCAGCCTCCCGTCTGGTCCATCCCCTTCTGCAGGTAGGAGTCAAGGATCCAACAAGGCGGGCGGTATAGATCCCTTCCCAGGCCTGGAGGAAGGAGGAGATAGTCATGTCTGGAGGCCTGTGTAACCTCAGAGGGTCCAATTATTGCATTCCTTACCCTTCAGCCTGACCCTGTCCACTCAGCTCCTAGTTCAGGGGCAGCGAGGCCGCTCCGTGTGTTCTGATAACATTGTCCGGGGGCACATCCGTGCAGTGATGGTGGTTCTGGCACTAGCAGGAAGGGGTAGCTCAAGGGGCCTGATGTCTCCATGTGCCCAAGGGAGTTCTGAGGACCCTCGAGGTCAAAAGTCCCGTGTGTGTTTACTGGACAACAGGGGCTGTGCCCAGGAACCGGTACACATCACTGGAGAGTTGATAGCCATTACTTGTGTTAGTTCCGGTTAGCAGGCAGGGGTTTGGAAGCAGGAACTAATTGCCCTTGACCACACAGAGGTGCGCAGGAGTCAGACCTGCCCCTCACCGACAAGGCTGCTGGGCAGCTCGGCCCGACACTGTAGCACGACGTTCTGAACAGCATCCCCCCCCCCCTCCTTCTCTGTTCTTCTCATGCTTTGTTGGGACTTTTGGCTAGAAGATACTTTAGTGGCCCATGGCAAGTCCAGGCAGGGGCAGCCACCACAGCAGAGTGTGTTTGCTGTGTTGAGGCTGCTGCCGGGGGAGCCGATCCAGCACATTGGACTGCCACCCTGGTTATCCTGCATGTTGTGGGCTCGGCCCTGATTCAGGGCCGCTTCACAGCACTGGTGCTGGATGTGGCCCAGCCAGCTCGGCAGAAATCTTCCAGGGAACCTCTCTGCTAACTCAGAGCAATTTGGGACCGTGAACGCCTCATACACAGCCTGCCCAGGCGTGCCTGCTCAAGTGTGCTGTGTGCTGACAAGCAAGCACCAAGGCCGAGTGTGCAGACAGTCTGTCCTACATTTTCACTGTCTCTTGGATGAGTCCTTTCCTTCACCATGGCTATCTGGATTTCCCTCTCCAGCTCCGAAGTCATGTTTACCAGAAAACTTCGATTTCTGAGTTCCCAGAACATACTTTCCTCCCATATGCTCCTGAGTCTCTGAGTCTCTGTACAAATGTCCCTAGTGGCATGCCCTTAATAAGAAAAGTAAAGAAGCTGTGGGACCGTGTCAGAATAGGCAACACCTACCACATGTCCGCTGCCTCATACATCCAATCATGTATGTATATAGAAAAGCCAATGGGATACATACTGGGCTGTTAATAGGAAAAATGGTTTATGTGGTATTGCGGATCAGTCTTGGGGCTTCATGCATGTTAAACTGTGCTCTACCACTGGCTGCACCCCTTGATAGAATATAGTGACTGGATGTAGGTTTTCATAATGGACTTTCACTTTCCAAGTTAGCAAGTTATGTAAAATGTTTTTTGTATGTTGCCCATGCTTTTATAATAAAAAGTGAAAAATACATTTTGTGGAAGCAGGGACCAAACCTAGGGACTTGCACATGCTAGGTAGGCACTTTACTATTGAGTTACAGCCACTTGCCCTTAAGAAGTTAAATATTGACCCAGCAGAACAGGTACGGCTTTTGCAGAGGACCTGAGTTCAGCTCCCGGTACCCATATCAGATAACTCAGAACCACCTGTAACTCCAGGGTAATCCGATGCCTCTGCTCTCCATAGGCACCTGCACTCATATACACAGACCCACACGTACACATAATTAAAAAGGTAATAAGACAAATATATTTTTAAAGTTACATTATTTAGCCTGACATGTTGATGCACAGTTTAATCCTAGCAAGAGTTCAAGGCCAGCCTGGGATCTATGAGACTCTATTTTAATACACTGTATATATTTCATACACGCGCGCGCGCGCGCGCGCGCGCGCGCGCACACACACACACACACACACACACACACACGAAAACTCATGTTGCTGAAGCAACAATTGAGAGTACAGTATAGTTCGCTAAGTTGTTGAAGAAGGGTCACAGTTAAGGTTGAGGATGTAGCTCAATGGTAGAGTGCTTGCCTAGCTTCCATGGATCCTTAGGTTCAGCCCCCAACACCACATAAAGGGTGGTAGCACACCCCTGTGATCCAGCTCTTGGGGGGCAAAGCAGAAGGATCAGTTAAAGTCATTCTTGACTACATAGTGAGTTTGAGGTTGGCCTGGGCTCTGTGAGACTGTCTCAAAAAAAAAAGGGTGATCACAGTGTTGCCCTGGCTCCACAACTGCCGACTCAGCCAGAAGCAGCTATGGGCAGGTGGGTGTGGCCATCCATAGACACTCTGGAATCTGGGGCCTCCTGGGTGTGGCATCTATAGATACTTGCCTTTCCTGAATTGGGGAAGAATCGTTCAGACAAAGGACGTAGAGGATCTGTACTGCTGATGCCTCTGTGGACTGCCCCTTACCTCTGGAAGTCACACCACCTGGACCAAATGCTTCTTCAGGAGGCTCTCGGGATCTCAAGGACTATGAATTGGGGTCAGAAGGCACCCAAACGTGGAAGATCTCCTCAAGCCTTCTTTTGTTTTCTTTGTCACAAATAAACCACATACAAACACCTATTAAGAGACCCCAATCTTGCCGGGCGGTGGTGGCGCACGCCTTTAATCCCAGCACTCGGGAGGCAGAGCCAGGTGGATCTCTGTGAGTTCGAGGCCAGCCTGGGCTACCAAGTGAGTCCCAGGAAAGGTGCAAAGCTACACAGAGAAACCCTTTCTCGAAAAACCAAAAAAAAAAAGAAAGAAAAACAAAAAAAGAAAAAAAAAAGAGACCCCAATCTAGTATATAGTCTAGGTCAGGAGCTTGTATTTCCGTCTATCCTGGGAGGCTGAGTGGGTCTCTAGTAAAATTCTAACCTACCCCCTTTTTCCATTGGCAGAGCTGACCTCAGTTCATGCACCAAGGTGTCCTGCCCTCTGCCTAGGTGGCCGAAGCCTGGACATGGGGCTGGGGGGTGAGCGATCTGCCACCTTCTGTCCACTAGGTGGCTCTGTCTCTTAGCAGATGGCAGGGCTCCACCCTAGGGTTCCCCAAGCTTGAGAAGACTTCCAGCAACTTCCTTTGGACTGTCCCTCTAGACAGAGGTCCTGAGGCAGACCCACCCAAAGGACAGCACTCACCTCTGTTCCCAGCCCCCTGGGAACCCAGCTGCCATCTAGCTACACTCTTGCCCACTGGGGTGAGAGTTGGGGGCTGGTACCTGAGTGGTTCTCTACCCACAATCTAGCTGTGCTTATAGAGAATGGGCAGTTGCTGGAAAGATCCTGGGGCAGAAAACTGCACCTAAGCACTGGCCACATGGTCTCAGCAGGGGCCTGGTGGCCTCCGATACTGAACAGCAGCAGCAGCCCTCCCAGGTCTCAGCCTGGCTGACCTCTACTAAGTAAAGATCACTATAACTTCCTCCTTCCTCCCTTCGTCCTCCGTGCTCCCTTCCCTCCTCTTGTCCTCTCCAGTGTATTGGTGCCTCTAGATTCAGTCTTCCCCTACCCCTTCCCTCTCTACCCTATTTCACATGACTTCCATAGGCCTCAGGTCAATACCTTCCAAATATACCCTTAGCCCAGACCCCTCTCCGAATCCCCAGAGCTTCATCTGACTGTCTTGACACAGCCCCTGCCCTACACACTCAGCAGGTCCAGCTGGGTCCCTCCTTTCCAGACCGGCTTCTCCACCTGGGTTCTCACCAGGTTCGGGGGCAGGACACAGCCTTGACTCATTTCCACACTGTGGTTGTTCCTAGGGGCTTTGATCCTCCTGCCTTAAAGCTCCCCAGATTGTCCTCGGCCTCTCCTTCTTGTTTGAATTCTTCTCTTAGGTTTTTGTTGTTTTGTTTTTTAAGATTGATTTATTTTTATTTTCTGTGTGTGTACATGGATGGATGGATGTATACCATATGCCTGCAGTACCCACAGAGACCAGAAGAGGGCATTGGATACCCTGGAACTAGAGTTACAGATGATTGTGAGCCACCATGCTTGTGTTTTGGGAACTAAATGCAGCAGGAGCAGCCAGTGCTCTTAACCTCTGAGCCATCTCTCCAGGCCCAGTTGTCTCGGGCTTTTTGTGTGTTCCAGACAGGGTCTTATCTTGAACTTGTTTTGTAGCTGAGAATGATCTTAAACTTTTAAAAATATTTTTCATTTATTTATGTGTGTGTATTGTCTGCCATGACACCCATGTGGAGGACAGAGGATCAGGAGTCAGTTTTTTCCTTCTTATATGTGGGATCCAGAGATTGAACTCAGGTTTCAAGCTGGGCAGCAGGTGCCTTTCCCTGCTGAACCATTGTGCCCACCCAATCTTGAACTCTTGACCATTTTTAGAGCTGGGATTATTGACATGCACCACCATGCTGTTGAGGATCAAATCCAGAGATTTGTGCATGCTAGGCAAACACCTTACCAATTGGTGGCTCCCCATCCCAGCTAGCTCAGTCATGTTTTTAAAATAAGCTACAGCTTGATTTGTTTTTGTGTGTATGTTTTCTTCGTATGTATGTGTGTGCCTGGTCCCTGCAGAGGCTAGGAGCAGGCGCCAGATGCTAAGATCCTATGGAACTGTAGTTATGGATAGTTGTAAGCCGCCATGAGGGTGCTGGGAATCAAATCTAGGTGTCCTCTCCAAGAGCGGCAAGTGATCTTAGCCAGTGAACCGTCTGTCCAGCTGCCTTTTAACTCAGTTTTTACAGAGAGGTCCTAAGCGGCATTTTCGAGACAAGGTTTCTCTGTGTAGCTATCCTGGCTGTCCTGGAATTCACTGTGGTAGACCAGGCTAGGCTCAGACTCACAGAGATCTGTCTGTCTCTGCCTGCCTAGTGCTGGGATTAAAGG